TGTGAATGTGTGTGGTCGTGCACACACACGAGTTTCCGTGAGTGGAGGTGCAAGTGGATGTTCATCGGTGTTTGCAGGTGCACAAGCCACGTGTGGGAGGAGAGGTCATAGTCCTTTCTCTGAAATGCACGGGGCCACGTGTGTCTCAGAAGTCCCACTTCTCAGAATTTAGAAAGGTGGTAGGGTGCATCCACCATATATTCTATCACACTCCGCACAGGGTTGGGGCAGCATCTTGTCATCAAAGCCCTGGGATTTCTGTGGCCGAAGGTAGAATGCCACGAGGTGGGTTAATAAAGACTTTGCGTAACTTCACATCAGGGTCGGGTCAGAGTTTGCCACCAAATGAGCTCTAGTGCTACTGAGTTTACGAAAATCTGTTGGTTTTCAGACCTTTCTGGAACTTGGCATTGAGAGTAAGGGACTGTGGACCTGTCTGTGTGGGTTTGGTTGAGTGCCTGTACTTCCGTGTGTATGGTTTTATCGGAGTCACGTGAGAATATGTGGTTTATGTACTTTTCTCCTGGCGCCTGAGTGCATTTTGGAGGGTCTGGGCTGTAGGTGAAACTTTGGATTACATTTTGGAGAGGTGTCCTGGGGGTGGAGCTACGCTGTCCTCTGCTCTGTGCACCCACTAATGGGGGTTGCCAGCCTTTCCCTCCATGGCCTGTACTTAGTACAATAGCACCGTGCCTCCCAGCACCTGTCATACCTGTGGTTCCCAGGTGATGGGTGTGGGTTCCTGGGCCTCCACCAAGCCAGCCTGAGCAGGGTCTTGTAGTTGGGGAGAGGATCTAACCCCTCTAGCTGGAGCTCCCAGTTCTGGAAATCTGTCCTGAGTCCCTAACCACTGCTCCACTGCCCCACTTCCCCCAGAGCACCCAGCTTTGAGGCCTTCTTGGGAGGGGTCCAGCCTGGCCCAGGATGCCATGTCTTTATATCCCTCTCTCTCCTCCCTCGTGGCCAGCCCTCTACAGCCACAAGCCCGAGGTGGCCCAGTACACCCACACGGGCCTGCTTCCGCAGACCATGCTCATCACCGACACTACCAACCTGAGCGCCCTGGCCAGCCTCACGCCCACCAAGCAGGTAAGGCCCAGGCCGGCCCCCCCTTGATCAGGCCCCTCTGCAAAGTGCTCCCATGGGGAACTCAGGAGGCTGCTCTGTCCCCCCAGGTCTTCACCTCAGACGCCGAGGCCTCCAGTGAGTCCGGGCTTCATACACCGGCATCTCAGACCACCACCATCCACATCCCCAGCCAGGATCCTGTTGGCATCCAGCACCTGCAGCCTGCCCACCGGCTCAGCGCCAGCCCCACCGGTGAGCAGCCTTTCCCTGCTCCCTCAGCTGGGGAGGAAGGTGTGTGCCACAAGCGGGAGGGCACCCTGTGCTCCCCTGAAGTCAGCCAAGAGGGGTACGAAACCACAGGAAAATGGGCCTATCTTACAGGAATGTCTCGTTGACTCTGTTGAGGAAAAAGATTAATTGAAAGAGGCAGAGGGTACTGATGAGGAGTACGCGGGGCTGCCCGTGGGGCCAGAAGCGGCGCACAGGCGTGTTGGTGTGGCTCAGGGCTTAGCCCTGTTTGAGTATGTTGCCCACATTTAAAAGTTAGCTTTCACAAAGAAATCATGGTTTCTGGCTTTTCTTGGAAAATTGTGGAGACTCATGTTCCCATGTAGTGACAACAGAGTGTGGGCTCTCTGGGTCACCACATCCCACTTGACCCATTCGGTTCAAGTCCCTGATGCCCTGCATCTGCAATGATGAAGAGCAGGCCCCTGGAAGTCAGGCTGCTGGGCTCTGAGGCCGCAGGGAATCACTTGCTAAGTACGTGACTTTAGGCCACTACCCTGCTCCCCACTCCCCTCCCGGAGCCTCAGATTCCTTCCTCCAGTGCTAGTGGCTGCAGTGACAATTGCTGAGGGATCCATGGGCCAGGCTCCATGCTTCATCCAAGGGACACATGTCATCGTCCCCATTTTACAAATGAGAATTTGCACACTCAGGAGGTGAGGGACTTGACCTTGCCTCTGACAGTGACCAGGTGGCAGGGCCAGGACTTGAACCCAGGTCCAAACTCAGAGCCCATTCTTTTAGCCACTGGAGTCAGCCAGGGTTCTGTTTGAGACACAAGCCAACAGGAATACAGTGTTGACCCCTGAATAACACGGGTTTTGAACAGCCTGGGTCCACTTGTATGCTGATTTTTTTTTGTAGAGCACAGGACTGTTAAAAGTACTTTCTTTTCCTTAGGATGTTCTTTTTTTTTTTCTTAAAGATTTTATTTATTTATTCATGAGAGACACACAGAGAGGCAGAGACACAGGTAGAGGTAAAAGCAGGCTCCCTTTGGGGAGCCTGATGTGGGACTTGATCCCAGGACCCTGGGATCACGACCTGAGCCAAAGGCAGATGCTCAACCACTGAGCCACCCAGGCGCCTCTCCTTAGGATGTTCTTAGTAACATTTCTCTAGCTTACTTTGTTGTACGAATACCACGTATAATACCTAGAACACGCAAAATATGTGCTGACTGTATATGTTACTGGTACGGCTTCTGGCTACTAGTAGGCTATTAGTAGTTAAGTTTTTGGGGAGTCAAAAGTAATATGCAGATTTTTGACTGTGCAGGGGGTCAGTGCCCCCAACCCCCACACTGTTAAAGGGCCAACTGTATATACACAAGTATATGTAAGAAACTGGCTCAGGTGCCTGTGGGATGGCAAGTCTGAAAGCTGTAGGGCAGACCAGCAGGCTGGCAACAGAGGTAGGATTCCTTTTTCTCTAGGGAACCACAGCTTTTGTTCCTAAAGCCTTCAAATGATTAGATGAGACTCCCTCATGTCTTCAAGAGAAATCTCTCACTGTTTCCAGCCAACTGATTATAGGTGTTAACCACATCTACAAAATACCTCCACTGTGACACTTAAATGTTTGGTTCAATGCCTGTACTATAGCCTAGCAACGCTGACGCATAAAACTAACCACACCATCTCACCAGGGCTTCTCAAATGTTTCCACTAAAATGTTCTGAGGAGGCCACTCACTGTGCGGCCCCAGAGCCTGGCTGGGGGCGTTGATGAGACCCAAGCATAGAGGTTTGGTTTTGGAGTTCTGGTTATCTGCTGCAGTTCAGGGGATGGCAAGGCCTCGTGTCCTCGGTGCCAAGAACCCCTTGGGATAGGTGGGCGAGGTGGGGTCAGGAAGGGCTCGGCCGGCAGCCAGCTGTCTCACTCGCCCCTGCAGTGTCCTCCAGCAGCCTGGTGTTGTACCAGAGCTCCGACTCCAACAACGGCCACAGCCACCTGTTGCCATCCAACCACAGCGTCATCGAGACCTTCATTTCCACGCAGATGGCTTCATCCTCCCAGTAACCATGGCAACGCCTCCCAGGGGCTGGGCCCTGCCTGGAGCCTGCCTGGCCTACTTGGGGGGTGACTGGGACATCTGAGCCTGTGACACTTTCACTGCCACCGGAGTGCAGCCTGAAAACTGTGCCTTGGTTCCCAGCCTGCTCTGTCAGCGTCAGAAAGAGTTCCAAGGCTCCCCGACCTCAGGGGGGCTGCTTCAGTGCCCAAGAGGGGACTGTGGAGAGCTGGGAAGCAGAGCAAGACACAGGAGGGACTGTTCCTGGTGCTCAGGGTCAATCTTGTCATTTGGAACACAAGGGCCGGGCTTTGGACTTGGGGACCCTGGTGCCCCCAGCCCATGCCTGTGGAGAACCCCAGAACCCTCAAGGATACTCTGGCAGTTGCACTTCTCAAGACATGAGGCTGTGGAGCTGTGACTCACTGAGCTCCAAGAGGCCCAGGATCAACACAGCCCCATCCTGTCACCTGTGTCCCGATCAGGCCCCTCCACCCTGCTCCCCTTCTAGCTATAGTCCCACATGCCTGTTTGTACCTACCCTGCCCCCAATCGCATGAACATTCCCCAAGTGGTTCCTCTGTGCTGGGGCCTGGGGCTTGGATGCAACCCCCTGGGAGAGCTCGAGCTAGCAGCAAAAAGCATGCAGGGCTCTCCAGCTTTTCTCGTGCTGAGCCATCCCTCTCTGCAGCCTCTTGGCCGTCCGTTCTCCTGGGTATCACACCTTCTAATGCCAGTCTGGCATCTTGCCTCTGTGGGAAAGACCCACTCCGGGCTAGGAAATCATCCCTGCCCCATAGGAGCCTTGCGACTGCGCCTGGTGCTGTCAGGATTCTGAACAACAGCTCCTCTGGCCTGTGGGGCCCTGCAGCCCCTCCCTGGTTTGGGGAAGAAGCTGCTGAGCTTGGAAGGCACCAAGGCCTGAGCAGGTGGTAGATCCGAGGGGCCGAGAGAAAGGAAAGGAACCAGTGGAGAGAAGCCACTTGCATGGACAGGATTGTCACTGGGCTGGCTGAGGGATGGGGAGAGGTCCGGGCAGTTCCCAGCCACACCCAGGCCCCTGAGGTCCCGAGTGCCACCAAGAGAGACAAGCCAGCTGTGTAAACCTGGGGCTCTGTGACCTCCTCTTCCTGGGGCTGCTGCAGATAACCTGGCTTGCAGACTGCTCCCATCCTGGGACTGAGGAAGGGGCCAGGGAAGAACCAGCGACCCCTGCAGCTTGCAGCCAGCTAAAGGCAAACCTGTACATTTATTTAACTTTTAGTAAAGGAAAGGAGGAACAGAAGAGTGGAAATGAGTAGTGGAAACTTCTTGCTTGTCCACACACTGCCCAGGTGGGGCTGGGCAGGCAGAGGGAGGCGGGGGTTGGGGGGTGGGGGAGGATGGGGGCTGGGGCCTGAGGAGAGATGGCTCAGTGCACAGACTCTCAGGTCCCACCTGTCTTTGTTACTCGGTTGAACTCCGGAGGCAAGGCCACGAAGCCAGAATTTCCCCTTAACTCTGAGCTGCTCCTCTTCCCTGCAGAACACTCCTGGTGTGTAAAACCCCATCCACAAGTGCTGCGATACTTTCCAGTCTTGAGGCTGGGGTGCGGGAACACCCACTGGGCTGCAGGCAGCAGGACACCACCTAAGTAATGTTTACTTAAAATGTCTCATCAAGGTTCAGCATTGATATGGAGGCAGCACCCCAATCACTTTAAGTTTGGGGTCTCTCGACAATTTATTTTCAATAATCTGGCTGGCTCAGAGACATGATTGTACATGGTACATTCACAAATGGAAAAAACTTCTGGAAATCTGGAGTGGGGGACGAATCTCTCCTTTTTCAGACAATGTTACATCAAATCTATGTGGCCTGGAGGGAGAAGTACAATACTCTTTCTGGGCTGACCCCTTTCCTCCATCTCTTAAGGTGGTCTCCCCCACCAGGCTGAAGAGGTGGGAGGGAAGGCAAAGCTCTCTCTTCACATGCTCTCCTCAGACAGGACCGGGAAGATGGAAGCTTCACCACTTGATCATCAACAGTCTTGAAAAACTGGAAGGCCATGGAGTGTTCTGGAACCACAGGTCTGCCCCAGCCCCAGTGGGAGCACAGATGGGCAGGCCTTGATTAGACTTCTCACCCTACAGCCCTCTTTGTCCCAACTCTTGGGCAAGCCCCAGTCACAGGCAGAGTATGGCCTTGCCATCCAAGTTCTCGGACTTGGAGAGGGAGGTGGGGCTTGGAAGTGCCTTTGTCCTCGGGCTAGTAGAGCCCTGTGCCCATGGGCAGGGGTCAGTGTGCAGGAGCAGCCATTGCACTCTTTGTTGGTGAGAATGGGGAAGCCTCATTGGCCTTCTTGGCTTTTTTCTTCCTTCTTTTCTTTTTGGTCCCAAGTGATGCCTGGTCTCCACTGAGCTTGGGGGACTGCTGTTCCTGCTTCCCACCTGTAGTCCCATACGTGGTGGTGGTGGCAGCGACCAGGTCGGCACTGGCCTCCTTCCTGGCCTTCTTTTTCAACTTCTTTTTCTTCTTCTTTGCCTCTCCTCCCACTTTGATGGGACTGTGGATGGCAGATTCCTGGAGGATGTCGGAGGCCGACACAGCTGCCTCCCGGCATCGCTGCCACTCCTCCTCACTGTCCTCGCTGCTGCAAGGGGAGGGCATAGAGTGGGCACAGGGTCCCAGAGCTGCCTCTCACTGCCCTCAGTATCAGCCACCCAGAAGAGGACCCAGGGGGAGGCGGCTAGAGAGCTCTGGCTTGGGAATAAGGCCAGTCTGGGCGCCAACCTTTGCTTCTCTGCTTCCCAGCTGTGTGACCTCATTAAGTGATGTCTCCTCTCTGACCCTCAGGGTCATCTACAAAATGAGGATCTTAGCAGAGCCCTGGTCTCATGGGGATGCCCCAGGAGTGAGGTGTCTGGCATAAGATGGTGCTCAAAAAGCAGTAAAAATCTAAAGCCAACATGCAGCAGAACCTCTTCCCCCTCCAACCAAGGGCACTACTTCTCGAGCTACCTGACAGGGCTCCTTCTTGGTCTGGATCTTGTCAGATTCTGCTCGGCTATTCCAGGGGACTGACAAATACAGACAACGGGCAAAAAGGAGTGGACAGGAGACAAGAGAGTGAGACCTCACCTGGAGCTGGAAGGTAATCGCTTTCGACCAGGCTGGGGAGCCTCTTTCTTCTCAGAGCCTCCAGGGATGGATGTGAAAAAGAGACGGAAACCTAAAATCCAAAGGGGCCAAGTAAGCCCTGCCAGGGACTGGCCCCTCCTCCCAGATGCCAGGGCTGCCCTGCCCCTGCCCTCAAGGAGCTCCACACCCAGAGGCAAAGACCCAGGAATCATTGTTGGCTGACTACAAAAAGGTGCCCTGTACGTTGAGAGGCACACATGGTGCCTGCTGGAGCCAGGGACGGGGTACTGAGGGGAGGCCAGCTGCCCCATCAGGTCAGCAAGCCCTAAGAGGAAGCGGAAGCCAGCAGGTGAACCTTCTGCCTCAGGCCGCTTCCACAGTGGCAAGGGAACTGGGCAGGGGACAGAGACTCAGCCGGAGTGGCTGAGGGTAGGAGCGGCTATGGGTGGTGGTGGTACGACACTCCCACTCTGGCTTCGACACACAAAGGTACTCCAGGGAAGTGGAGTAAGGCCAGTCTGGTGCCAACCTCGGCTTCTCTGGGGGAAGGGAAGTGATTTCATTTCTCAGAGCCTCAGCTTCCCCCACGGCTCCCCTTGTAAACGGGGGGATCATCATCACACCTGCCTCAGAGAGGGCTGTGTGGATCAAAGAGCATACCCAAACTGTTTGCCTGCCCCAGACACACAGCAGGTGGGTAAAGAAACAACAGCTGGCATTAATAGTATGACTGCTTACCATCATCCTCTGTGGAGACTTTCTGTACCTCAGCCTTTCTCAGCTCCTTCACTACTTCTGAGATGGTAATTGAGCTATGGAAGAAAGGTTTTTCTTTTTTAAAATTTTTATTTATTTTTTCATGAGAGACACACAGAGAGAGGCAGAGACACAGGCAGAGGGAGAAGCAGGCTCCATGCAAGGGACTCAAACCCGGGAATCCGGGATCACGCCCTGAGCCAAAGGCAGGCAGGCGCCCAACTGCTGAGCCATCCAGGCGTCCCAAGAAATGATTTTTAGGATGAGATTTGGGGTAACAAAAAAAAAATTAAAACAATATTTTTTAAAAGTGGCAGGAACAGGGGCATGTGATGTGAAATACTACAGCAGGAAGCACACTGGCCTGATTAAGGATGGTAACACCAATAGCCATAACATACTGAACAGCCCTTGGCAGCTCAAATTGCAGTACTTCAGTTCTTGGAACCTCACTTTATTCCAGACAGTGTTGAAGAAGTTTTAAAGATATCCACAGTACAATAAAATGAATGTAATCTAAAACAGAGCAAACAGAAGATGGGCCAGGAGGGAGGGAAATGGCTGGAGAGAGGGCTGCATGTTTTGCTTTGAGCTTCCTGGCAGCAAGTATGAAAAGGGAAATAAGACCAATCTGGAGAACTGGTTTGGAGGTCAGCTTCTAGAGCAGGGCAGACCTGTTTTTTTGTTTGCTTCTTCTCTTAATTTTTAAGTTTTTTTTAAAAATGTGAGGTAATTAGGGATTGACACTCAAGAAATAGTAATTTTGGCACTTCTAGCCCTCCTGTGGTAGGAACGAGCTCCTGCTTCTTGGGTTCCTCTCACTTTCACGGCAGCAGGATCATATAGTGGCTAAGAGTGACATGGGTTTGAGTCCCAGCCCTGCTCCTCACACCCTGAGGCTTCAAGCAAATGCTCCATTTCCCAGGCAGCGTTTCCTCATCTACAGAATGAGGACAACTACAGGACCTATATCACGGGCTGATTATGAATGCCATCAGGTGACATCCAGCACATGCTTATCACAGTGCCTGCCTTACAGCCTGAGCTCCCAGCCAGTGTGAGCCATCCCTGTTCATCTTAAATAGAGGCAGGAGGAGAGAAGGTACATTGTTGGTTACCTGTCCAGCAGGGCTCCTAGCTTCTTGGCTACGTGGGCTCGGAATTCGGGGGTGGTCTGAAGCTCATTGCCGTCCTGTTCGTGTTCATCCACTTTACGCCTACAACACACATGAAAGGACCTCCCTTCCTGCCAGCTCAGCAGCTGCTCCCCATCCCCACCCCCATAAAGGCAGGGACTACATGGGGTCTCCTTGACCCTGACATCCCAAGGCTCTAACATTGCGTGTCTGGCTAATGGCAGGGGATGGCTATTTGTTGAAAGGACAGATTAAACTTGAACCCAAAGTGCACAGTACCTGAGGCTTGGCTGGATGGATGGCTGCTGATTATTTGCAGCATCTGTAGAAATAAGAAAAATTGAGGCATTTATAGGGGAAATGACAGCAACGGTTGGATGTGATTTACATGTATAACACACTGAATGATCCCAACAACCCTGTTAAAGGAGTCATTATCCATTCTGCAGAAGAGGAAGTTGAGGACGGAGATGTAAACTAACTTGGCCAGAGTCATGCAGCTACTCAGTGTGACAGAGCTGGGGCAAGATCCAGGTCATCTGGCTCCAGAGCCCCCTCTGAACCTCCACGCTGAATAAGAAAGTCTAAGTGTACTTGATTTCGGCACTTATTGTGTACATACTGTTTGCCTGGCTGTGTGCTAAGTGCTGTGGAGAGTGAACGTGGCTCATTTACGCAGGTTACGGTTTTCAAGCCAAGACACTGGGGATGCCTGGCCTGGTGGTTGTTCACTCAACCAAATACTGAAGCTCTATTATTATTCGGCGGTGTGCCAGTTGCTGATCAATTTAGACATAGATCCCAGCTGTCATGGTGCTTACATTCTAGTTGGTGGATATGGAAGACAAAACCCACACAATTAGAATATAAAATAAGATCATGATAAATATAGGGGGAGCAAACAAAGCAGGGGCTTTGGGGAAGTGGGGGAGGATATAAGTGGAGGAAAATTTTATAAAGGTGGGCAGGGAGGACTTCACTGATAGGTAACATGTGAACAGAGATTTCAGAGAGGCAAGGGAGTGAGCCAAGTGGCTCCCTGGGGAAGAGTCTTCCAGGTAGAGGGAAGAGCACCTGCAAAGGCCTTGAGGCAGTTTACAACTAGCAAGGAGACTGCTGTGGCTGTGGCCCAGTGAGTTGGGGAGCAGCAGAAATGGGGGCCTTATGGGGGCCAGATCATGAAAGGCCTGATGAGCCAACATGAGGACTTGGGCCTTGAGGGAGGGAGAAGCCACTGGAGGACTCTGCAGAGGAGAGACATAAATGGACTTGGGATTTGACACCCAACTGTAAAACCCTGGCTGCAGGGTAGACACAAGACCACACTGGGGCGAGGGCAGGAGGGGGCCACAGTAATGGTGGAGATGAGAAGTAGTGGACTCTGGATCCATGTATTTTGAAGGAGTCAACAGGATTCTGCTGATGGACGAGACATGAAGGAGAGATGTGTGAGAGATGAAGGAGAGATGGTTCTCAGGTTTTTGACTCGAGTAATGGGACAAAATATGCTCGTGTGTTTAAGGAGCAAATTGGACAAAATGATCACTTGGTAACTCTGGGCCCCAAGCAAGGCCACACGGTCTTGAACAACTCCAGGGCACGCAGTTCACGTTGCGGTCTGTGTCAAGTGTGCTTTGGAGGACAACACAGAATGCAGGGTGCCCGATGCTCCTGGGTTTGGGGAATATGGGAATCTGGGATGGACCCAGTCCTTCTTTCTGAGCACATAATCCCAAGGAGGAGGAGTATTTCCTCTGTCATGACTACAGAGCAAGGGCGGTGACATAATGTCATGGAATGGCAACAGTATTAGACCCCAAACCCTGGAAGACAGGGTTAAGTTCCAGTTCTTCCACTGTGACTCTGGGCAAGTCACCAGATCTCCCCGGGCCTTCGTTGTTTTGTCATCTACAAAATGGGGATAAGACCACTAACTTCCCAGAGTTAGTGTGAGGACATAGTGAAGTTTTGCAATATTTTAGACACTTTGTTGGCATGCCTGTTTCCTTTCTGGATTGTAAGGGGCTGGAGTACATGGTCTGCCTCTTGTTATCTTTACACCTCCAGCTCCTGACATAGTGCCTTGGTGTGGAAGAAATGTTGCATGAAGTAATCAAAGTGTATGTTGCTCTACAATGTAAGTGATTGGAGGTACAGATGATTACAGAGCTGTATGAGGGGTTACAGTAATAATAGAGTCACCAAGGGGCACCTGGGTGGCACAGTCTGTTAAACTCTTGATTTCAGCTCAAGTCACAATCTCAGGGTTGTGAGATGGAGCCCTGTATCAGGCTCTGCGCTGGGTGCAGAGCTGACTTAAGATTCTCCCTCTCCCTCTGCCCACCCACCCCACGTGAGCATGCTCTTTCTCAAAAAAAAAAAAAAAAAAAAAAAAGATCTTAATAATATAGTGATCTACATTTCCACATGTTCGTGGACCAAAGGGTGGGAGTTTTGCCCACAATAGGCCTTTGTCTGTGGCAGGGAGTGGCAGTATAGTAGTTAATAGCACGAGCTCCGAGTCGGACCTGGATTTATGCCTGGCTCCACTAACTACAAGCTGGACCTTTCTGAGCATCCACTTTCTCATCTGTAAAATGGGGCTAATAATTGCTGGAAAAGTTAAATAACAAATACAAAGTGTTTAGAACAGGACACACAGTGGCACCTGGGTGGCTCAGTCGGTTAAGTGTTACTCCTGATTTCAGCTCAGGTCATAATCTCAGGGTCATGAGATTGAGGCCTGCGTCAGGCTCTGTGCTCAGTGTGGAATCTGCCTGAGTTTTTCTCTCTCTCTGCCTCCACCGCTAAGTAAACAAAATCTAAGGAAAAAAAAAAAAAGAACAGGCACACAGTAAACACTCAACTCATAGTGGCTATTATCATTAGAATGGCCCAGGCATGTATGTCAAGTGTTCAGTATTTTTTCCTGGCACACAGTAAGTGCTCAATTAATAGTAGGGTTTATCAGCAGCAGCTACATCTACTTTGATCAGCAGAAGGTTTACAATTTCACAAAAACAATGAGTTGTAAAGCTGATATCTTGGATGCCACTTCTGACATGTGCATCTTTTTTTTTTCTTGTTAAAGATTTTATTTATTTATTCATGAGAGACACACATACACACACAGGAGAGACACAGGCAGAAGGAGAAGCAGGCTCCACACTCGGAGCCCAATGTGGGACTCGATCCTGGGACTCCAGGATTATGCCCTGGGCTGAAGGCAGGTGCTAAACCACTGAGCCACCCAGGTGTCCCTCATCTCTTCATTTGTTGGTCAAAGTTGTTCATGTTTGAAACTCCCAACAATCCCAGGACTTAGGCATTTTACACATGAGGAAATTGTGGCTCTAAGAAATTATTTTACTTTTAAATTACTTTACTTGCCTGGGACTATCCTTCAGCGCTGGCACTTGATATCAAGTCCTCCCTCTACTGCTACAGAGAAGTCCATTCTGTCAAGACAGAAGCAACTGGACTGGAAGTCTGGTTGTGGAGTCTCATTCCCTCATTCGTCAGAGAAGTGCCTTTCTGGCAAGTTCATTCATTTAAGAACTATTTTCCTGAGCACCGTGCTAGGCCCCGGGGATACCATGGTGAAGGGACAGGCCAGAACCCAGCCTTCATTAAAGTCACATCACATATCCTCTCACTAAAATATCTGTGGAGTAAGTCAGGCCAGGGTTGACTCCTACCGGCTAGGGATGCAGGGATGAAAAGAAAAAAGATAAGAGGCAACCATAGGGGAAGAGGAAGCACTATCTATGAAGGGAATCACAAGAGGTATGATGGTAGCACTGTGAAGACATGTAACCAGCTTTTCTGAAACGGTGGTATCTCAGCTGTGTCAAAGGGTAAGCATGAATTAAGCAGGAGAGAGCAAGTAGTCCACATAGACCAATCACATAACTATTGCCATTTATTGGGCCTTTAATAAGTGCCAAACATTGTAGATGTACCATCTCAGTTCTTTCTCAATCTTGGGGAGGGGAGGGAGGCTGCCATTACCCTACTGTACGAGTACCTTGCCCAAATTCTCATTGCTAGCGAGTGATGGAGCTGGAAAGGCAGACCTGTATATAGAAGTTCAAGAGAGAAATGCGGAGTTATGGTGTCCAGAGATGAGAGGATGTAATTTGGTTTGTAGTCTACCTATGGGAAATGCAAAGTAGCAAGACAGCAAAGCAGGAAGGGAGAGGCAGGCAGGCAGGGAATGGATTCCCAAAGGGCTTGTAAATCTTTTCAAACAAAAGCAGGGATTCTTTGCCTTGCTATGCCTGCTCTGGCAATCTGGTAAAGCCTAGCTCCTTCCTCAGAATAATGTTTTATTTTTATTTTTTATTTTTTTTAGAATAATGTTTTAAATGCATAAAACACAACACATACGATTACAAAGAAAACCAATGATACAGAAATCCAGTTATCAGCAATAGTGAAAAATAAATAAATAAATTTGGCACATTACTTAGTAAAGGACAGGGAAGGCAAGGTAGAAAGAGACAGGTAGGGAGGGGGCTATGTAAGCAGGCTCACAGAAATTCCAGATGTGGAGAAATGTTATAGACAAGATATTAACCAGAGAGCAGAGAACAAAACAAATCCACCTTGTTTGTTTTAAATATAGACGAGATATTTTCATGTTTACAAATCTACCTTGTTTAAATGTTATAGACAAGATATTTACCCAGTTCCTTGGTCAGTTTTCTATAAAAGACTGACCATAAAAGCCCTTAGAGGGAACACATTCACAACCGCTCTCACTCTAGAGAGCTTTTCTCTCTGTTCTCATTTTCCCTTAATAAACTTTCTCTTCAGGGATCCCCGGATGGCTCAGCGGTTTGGCTCCTGCCTTCGACCCAGGGCGTGATCCCGGGGTGCTGGGATCGAGTCGCCGGCAGGCTCCCTGCATGGAGCCTGCTTCTCCCTCTGCCTGTGTCTCTGCCTCTGTCTTTCATGAATAAATAAATAAAATCTTAAGCAAACAAAAAAACAACCTTTCACTTCATTTCACCGTTTTGTCTGCAAGATTTCGTTCTTGGACTCTGTGAGACAAGAACCCTGCAACGTGACTCTATGTGCTTCTATATTAATACATTTTTTAATACATTAAGCAAGATCTACTGATAAGCCTAAAAATGACTGCAATTTTATAACAGGGATGAGTGTAAATTATATTCCCCCAACATTTTACTGTGAATAAATGATAGTTTAATACATATGCAAAGACGGTAATGGGATATGAAAATCTGTGACTTTGTTAGGATAAAGTAACAGGTATTGCTCGAAGTACTGTGGTTTTTTGCTCACGTGTAGGACAGGAAGCGCTGCTAAATTTCAAATGCAGGTTAGCGAAGGTCAAGGTGAAATACTTTTCCGATTCCAAATTCACAGATCCTGTGGACTCTACCCCGTGCTGAAGGGTTTTGGACGGATTCCTAGGGTGCGAGAGCGTCCCGGTCGGACGCAGGAGGGCTCCGCTCGTTCGCAGCCCCAAGGTGTGAAAACGTGCTGGAGGCCGGGATCCAGGAAGGGGGGTGTCGCAGTCATCTCAGGGAGGCGGCAGGCTGCCGGAGTGTGACGGTGACGGTGGGCCGAAGGAAACAGGGTCCAGCGACATGCGGGGCCTCAGTTTCCCTGACTGGGACAATGAGACAACCCTCCCTGTTCCCCCTGCCCGCTCTTTGATCCTGAGTCCCACCCCGTCCCTGGAGCTTTCTCAGCGAGAGAAGTCGAGCCCGCGTCACGCCCTCCTCACCCTCCATCCTCTCAGACCCCAGGGGAAGATCCTACGCCTTTCGGCCAGACGCCCTGAACACAGCCTCCTACCGGCTCTTGGCTTCTCTGGCCCTCTCGGGCACTGCTCCAAGCCCCAGGCCGGCATCGCTGCCTCGCGGCACCGTGCCAACTCCTCCGCATCGCTGCCGCTGCTGCTGCTGCTGCTGCTTTCCAAATCGCTCAGGGCGCCATTGGGCGCCGCCATCTTGAACCACCGCAGAGGATTGTGGGGAGCGCTTCTGCTAGCGAACTTTCTTCACAGCCGCACTGAGGGCGGAGAAGCGCAGGGTATTGTGGGGATTGTAGTTCTCAGACTCCGGCCTTCCTCGGCCACGAACTACCCCCTGAGGGTTTCCTCCAACTTGAGATCTAGAAGGGTCCAGAAGTGAACTTTTCCATGCTTTTCTCTCTTTTTTTTCCATGCTTTTCTTTAAAAAAAATTTTTTTTTTTAATTTATGATAGTCACACACACAGAGAGAGAGAGGCAGACACAGGCAGAGAGAGAAGCAGGCTCCATGCCCTGGGAGCCTGACGTGGGATTCGATCTGGGGTCTCCAGGATCGCGCCCTGGGCCAAAGGCAGGCGCCAAACCGCTGCGCCACCCAGGGATCCCTCCATGCTTTTCTTGATGAGGAAAATGAAACCTACAGAGGAGAAGGAATTGCCTACTGTCATTCAGGGAGTTAATGACAAAACGAACATTGGTTCCCAGGCTTTGATCCAATGTAGTTTCAGTTCAGTGTTATGTTTGTTCCACTAATCCCCAGATTCATCTAGGCAAGAGAAACACCGTAGGGAACTTGGTAGAAGTTATTGTGTCTAACAAAAATTAACCAAATGAGAGCATGCAACTCTTGATCTTGGGGTTGTAAGTTTGAGCCCCATGCTGGGTGTAGAGATTACTTAAAAAAAAAAAAATCTTAAAAAACCCTCTTTGGCCTTGGGCTTTTCCATTATGAAAGAGAGGAAGGTGACTTATACCTTTTTTTTTTTTAATTAAAAAATATTTTTTGAGAAGATTTATTTGAGAGAGAGAGCACCAGCAAGCAGAGGGAGAGGGAGAAGCAGGCTTTCCCCTGAGCAGGGAGCAAGACTCAGGACTCAGGGTGGATCCTAGGACCCTGAGATCATAACCTGAGCTGAAGACAGACACTTAACCACTGAGCCATCCAGGCGCCCCTCCCTTTTTTTATTTTTATTATTTTTTTAAGATTTTACTTATTTATTCATGAGCAACACAGAGAGACAGACAGAGAGAGAGAGAGGCAGAGACACAGGCAGAGGGAGAAGCGGGCTCCATGCAGGGAGCCCCATGTGGGACTTGATCCAGGGTCTGTAGGATCATGCCCCGGCTTCAGGCAGCACCAATCAGCTGCACCACCGGGGCTGCCCACCCCTCCCTTTTTTTTAAAGAAGAATTTTCCCACTACCTATAAATGTGGGCACTGGGACATTATAAAGGATAAAAGATAGGGGGTGGACCAGCTTGTCCACCCTATGGAAAAGAGGCACTTTTCTGCCCCTGAAGCAAAGAGAGGTGGAAAATAGATTTGATAGGGAATAGTATTGATAAATTGCCCAGAGGCTGTTGAAAACCAGTTATAAAAAGCATTTTATTTTATTTTTTTTAAAAGATTTTATTCATTTCAGAGAGAGCATGAGCAGTGCAGAGGGGCAGAGGGAGAAGCAAACCCCCCCCCCCCCACCACCACCAGAGCACGGAGCCTGACTGGGGACTCCATCCCAGGATCCTGGCTAACTAGAAGCAGGGCCTCCCTGTGTGATTGGCTAGGGAGCTTATTTGGCTTTTTCTGGTTGGCTCTAAGCTGGAAATGAGGTGGAATTAGGGAAGCTGGTGATTATTGACCAAGTCCTGACAATTTGGGGTTGATTGCGGCAGAGATGGTGGTTTGGCTTGCCGGGCTGGGGACTGTGGAGGTTGTGTGGGTCAGAATCCTATTCTCAAAAAAAAAAAAAAAAAAAAAAAAAAAAGAATCCTATTCTCATATGTGGTCTGGCCATTGTCTATTATATACCAAGTGTCTCACATCCCTCCTTGTTCCCCCACTGGCAGGGCTAGGCTGTTTCCAAAGCTGGTGAAGACACCAGACCTCCCCAGGCGAGGGCTGGTAGAAGTGGTTGACAGGCTGAGTCCTGTATTATCTGGGCAGAAATGGAAACCTTTCAGCTTTCTTCTTGGAGAGGATAAGGGTGTCGTGGTGCTGGATCCCATAGTTCCTCAAAGGCAACCAATCTTTCAGGACTTGACCTTGGAACTCCAACTGCTGCTGCTTTCTGGGTAGCCCTTGCTTGTATTCAATCTGCTGTTTCAGGCCCAGGACGAAGCCTTTGGGGTCAGTGGTGTAGGCGTCGCTCCCACCATCAGGATTCTTTACAAAGACCTGGATCTCGTGGGAGTTGGTCTCCACCAGACAGATGCGAGAATTGGAGAAGACACCGTAATCGGCCAAGGAGCACTGGCTGCTGAGGAGCTGTTGCTTGGCACCCAGCTCCTGGAGGTACAGATGCTGCAAGCCTGAGCAGCACCGGCTTCGCCACATCTTCTCTTGAATCTTCTTTATGGGCTCATAAGGGTTCACCCTAAGGATCAAATCTGAATAACCCCATTGTTCCACTGTCACTTGGATGTCTCGTGCCTTCTGGAAAGGAAGAGAAGAGGGAGAGGGGGTTAATTCCACACTCCTCTGCCTGACGTGCAAAAGCTCTCCTTACCTGTCCTCGTATCTCTAACAGCAGCAGCAAACATTTCAGTTGTGCCAACTACCTTTCAGGCCGCGTGCTGGGCACCTGTCACACTCCTCTGAATGTATTTTATTCTCACAGTAGCCCTATGAGGTTGGTTCCTGTTAGCCTAATGTACAGATGAGGACATTGTGGTCGAGCAGAGGTAAGTGATGTACTGACCATCACAAAGATAGTGAGGAGCACAGCAGCAGGTATTTGACCAAGGTCAGTCAAGACTCTAAAGTCTGGGGATCCCTGGGTGGCGCAGCGGTTTGGCGCTTGCCTTTGGCCCAGGGCGCGATCCTGGAGACCCGGGATCGAATCCCACGTCAGGCTCCCGGTGCATGGAGCCTGCTTCTCCCTCTGCCTGTGTCTCTGCCTCTCTCTCTCACTGTGTGACTATCATAAATAAATAAATAAAAAAAAAAAAAAAAAAAAAAAAAAAGACTCTAAAGTCTGTTCTTCGCCACCACCAGAGGTCATGCTCCAGAGCCTGGGAGTCTCTGATGGCTGAAAACAGTACCTGTAAGGTGCTGGGCAGGGCTGGATCCCTAGCTGATCTTTACAAGAAGGAATATAGGCCCAGAATTCCCAACTCTTCTGATTTTTTCAAGATAAAACTCTTTGCACAATGATTTTTACATTCAGGAAAAATCCAGAGGCATATACTTTTCAGTCTGTTTGTGGGCCTCATTTGGCTGGTGGGCCCCACGAAGACCTGGGTGTACAAATCCTGACCTTGCTCTTATAAGTGTGATCTTGGTTAATTCACTTAACCTCTCTGAACTTCGGTTTATTCATCTGTAAAATGTAGATGATAATGTTCAAGATAGTGATGATGATGATGATGATGATGATAATAATACTTAACCCCTCTATTTTACAGACTTGTCCCCAGACAAGCGCTTGGCAAATTATTAAGTACAGTAGGAATAGAATAAAATTGATTATTATGATCTTTGCCTGTACGGTAGGTTTGCCATTACACGATAATATTATTTAGCATTTTTTATTCCCTGAGTAGCTTTTCCGGCAATTCTTTTCTTTCTAGCAGTTTTGTGCAAACTTGTTTCATGGGCTTGCTTCCTACCAAAATCCAGTGAGCCCTCTGGGGGTAGGGGCCATGTTTTATTTCTGCATTGCTGTTGCCCCCCACCAGCCCTAAGTACTGGCACAAAACAGCTGATGAATCCACTTTCCTGGCCTCAGCTCACGTACCAATGATTGAGAGTATGACTGATTCTCCAGGAGGTTATGGGAAAGAGAAAGAGAAGGAGAACATGAATTTGAAAGGCAGCCACCTGAGGCTTGAACCAGAGGGTTGAAAACTGTCCCCAAGTTCAGAGAGCCACCTGTCCTGGCTCTAAAGCCCTGTAAGCTCCATTGACACAGAAGGTAAATAAGTAAATTCTATGCAGTTACCTCCTTCTGAGCTTTGAGCCCCTGAAAGCCCCAAGATGAGTCATTACCTTCACATTCCAGCTGGGGACTGGTTTCTCCTTGTTGTCATAGCAACAGTTCTGTTTCAGGCACTGGCGGGCCCTCTGAGCAACTATGTCCCATCTGTACCCTTCTGCCACATTGTGGGTGGGGTCAGCTGGATCCAGGATGATGGGCCTGCAACACAAGGAGAGGGTGCCCAGGCTCTTTCTGGGGGCCAGCAAGCCAAAAAGAAGCCTGCTCAAGCAATCAGCGAATCAAATCACTGAACACATGCTGTGTCCAGAGCCCCAGGCCCATCAGTCCAGGAGGGCCTGAGAACATTGCTGGAGAGGAATAGGATGGGGATGATGATGTTTCCAAGAATTCCTTTTGGGGGTGTGGAATGGTTATGATTCCCAAAGGTAGCTATAACAGATGCCAGCTCAGGCAGGTGAGCATCATAAGGTCAGGGCTTTTGGTCTGCTGAGCAGGCTACATACATAAGTTTGAGGCTAGGGCTGCTGCATTGCTTTGGATAATAGAAACACCACCACTACCAACTCCTGATATTTATTGAGGCACTGGGTCAAGCCCTATGTGAATTTACTTATTTTAATCCTTGTAACAATTCTAAGAGGGAGAGACTATTAGTTTCTTTCTTTTTTTAAAGATTAATTTATTTGAGAGAGAGAGAGAGAAGGAGTGCAAGTGGGGGAAGGGGCAGAGAGAGAGGGAGACAAGCAGACTCTTGCTTAGTGGGAGCCTAAGGTGGGGCTGGATCCCAGCTCTCAGATCATGACCTGAGCTGAAATCAAGAGTTGAATGCTTAACCAACTGAGCCACTCAAGTGCCCCAGGAGAAACTATTATTATTGCTGCTGCTGTCAACCGCATTTCACAGATAAGGAAACCGAGGCATAGACTTCTCTAAGTTCGTACAGCCAGCAAATGGGTGTTCTTACCCATCTGCTCTGCTTTCATGGAGAAGAGGTTCAGCTGCCACCAAGTATCTCTCTTCTCTATAAATGATGAAAGAGTACTTAAA